TGAGTCTTCTGGAGTATGTGGTGCGCATGTATATCAATAACTACTGCTCGGAGGTGTTGTCTGTTGACGAGATCCGGTTCCCACTGCCGGAGCCGTCGGATCTGGAGAGGGCGTCGGCTATAGTTTTTGATGATATCGTTGCGGACATCAATACTTTGGAGAATAACATGCATTCCTGCGAACGAAAAGTGGATAAAGTGTTGAAATTCGCTCAAAATCCGCAGCACATCGAGCCGTTTGAGTCGCGAATGAAGACATTTATAGAAAAGGCGAAGAATCAGATCCGGGAGATGAAGGAGAATGTGGAGGAATGTCAGCAAAAGTAGGTTTTTGAAGTTTTGTTCATTTTTGTCTTTTTTAATTGTTAGTTGTATTAATGGTTAGGTTCCCCGAGACTATGCATTACTTTATATACAAACCGAAGTCCAGTAAAGAGTGCGATTGGCCTAAAGAGTTCTTCGCCCATTGGATCCCCTTTAGCAGGGATTTCAAGGATATATTCAAACGCGAGATCCAGCGGACGATTAAACAAAAGTATGAAAACTGTTTGTTTTTATTGTAAAACTTGTGGTTTACTAATGGATTGACTCTTTTGTATGTTGTTTGCAGTGTTGAGAAACAGAAGCAAAAAGTGAAAGAATTGACAGAAAGTAAACAATTAGAACAACAGAAGTCTAAGAAGAAGATCACTTCCGGAGGACTAAAGGAGAAGATATTGAAACAGCAGAACAAGTCATGAGATTATCATATATTTAATGTATTGATTGGATGAACGCTTATTTGGTCTCGAAATCAAAGTCAAGAATATTCTTATATTTATTGTAAAAACTAATGATTAACTAATGGGACTATAACTTAGGCAGCTATACAAAGCGCGCCCGTGAGCTACCGGTGCCGTACTTTCGAGCCGTGAACTACATTCTTATAATCGATTCCTAATTATGTAATGGATTTAATAGATTTATATTTATTTTATATTTATTTACTTAATATATTAAGTATTATTTATTTTATTTTNATTTATATTTATTTTATATTTATTTACTTAATATATTAAGTATTATTTATTTTATTTTAAAGCAGTTTGAAATCTAATCGTTATATTTGTTTTTAATTTGCAAATCAATTGTGATTTTTATTTGTTGTCAACAATACATGATTTTGTGATAATTTTTACGCGATTTCTTTTTTGTGAGTTAAATATTGAAATGTTTTTATAGGATTTATCTACACATGAGTTATGCGTTGATTATGAGTTAATTAATTTAAACGTCGATTGTATTAAATTGTTATTTAAACATTTTGTTAACTTTTTTAAAGGGTTATAAAGTTATATAATTGGAAATATAGGGAATAAGTAATGTATGATTAGATAATGTTTAAGACTAAATAACATCATATTTTTAATTGATATTCTGATGCACATTGAAAAAT